ATATATATATGATAAAGAAATTAGGCCGGTCTGTGCTATACCTCAGTAAGAATGAAAAGAAAAACTGTATGTGTTAAGTGTGCTGTGTCCATAGATTTTTAACTAACTCTCAGTCCTAATTCTCACTAGTACTAAACGCCGCAGAACTAAACATCACTTTGATTTGATGCTCACACTGAGGAAACATCCTCCAACATTAACAGTTGCAGGACACCATCGTGTATCCTGATTACTGTGCACAAGCTTAAAAATAACGTACCCAAAATAAAAATGTTACTGTTCTTCAATGCTTTTGATTACATTTGTGACCCTGGTCTCATTTGTAAGATACAGTAACTCTCTAAACTTTACAACTGCACAGTCAAAATGAGTATAAATGATCATTTTCCCAAATAACATCCCTACCCTGGGCAATGTCGGTTGTCCTCACTGAGTTGGTCAGCTGGCTACACTGTGCTTACTCACCAGTGGAAGAGCTACATGCAGGTAAATGGGTCATTTTCTTTATGTGTGGAGCACTAGCAGTGGACGAGGATATCAGCCTAAAAGAAGACTGAACAAAGACCGCTGATCGAGAACCACTCTGTTTTTTTGTTTCTCTGTGACACTTAGGGGGATATTTATTAAAGTTTTATACCTCATTTTCTAGTGCTAAAAAGTGACATTGTATCTGCTCATATTTACTACGGAGTAAGCGGGATTTTGTGGTGGAAAAACAGAAGAAGAGTGGCATTGCAGGAATTTCCATGTTGGGTCTCATGCAATAATTTGTATTTTAAGGCGATGCAAAAAATAAGGAGAGAGAGAATGGAAATTTATAGAAATACTCTCAGCGCCTGATTTATTATTGCAGCAACATAGGGAGCTGCAGCTGAAATTTAACTTAAGGCAAGAGCAGGTTTAAAATTTGTGGCCCTGCTCTCAGCATGGCAGCTGTTAGTCATCTGAGATCTTGTTGGAGTTAAATGTAAATCACATCACTCACCAGAGGAGAATGTGAGGGACTTGTGCAGGCTTTCAGGTCAAACCACGCTTCAATTAGTGAACAAAATAAAAGATGATTTAACTGGCAGGAGACTACGTGACCATAGTTCCCGAAATAAGTTTGCTGAGTTCTTCAAGCATATTAAAGTTACTGTAAGTCACAGCTGAATCACTCAGTGTCTCCTGTCCCTCTCAGTCCACCCATGCACAGTACAGACACGTCCTTACCAGCTGAAGCGCATTCAAATTAACACTGCTGCGGCTGTGTTCATTTACATCATCAGCTTTGATAAACACCCCCCTAAACTGAAACATTGTGGTGCCGCATTATTTTCGGGGCCTGACGGTAACTTGCAACAGGCTTTGTAAATATCCCCCAATGTTTGCCATACTAATGCTTTGGCGGATTTAGTTCATTGGAATCTTGTGATGAAAATGATGCTCAGCTTTGGCCATTTGGATACACATCTGTGCTTCAGACAACAGTGAAAGGCAGGGACCGAGTGCTCTGTTCTGTGTGCCATACTGCTTATAAATGAAAATGCCTGTTGCAGTGATAAGGAGACCATAAAATTGTCAGCTATGTAAAGCTGACACTGTGAGAGCTTCTTAGCGGTGTACAGCGTGTTGCAGTTGTGTTGAGAATGAACTGGATGAGTGTGTGCTGTCCCACGGGTGGGATAGTGAACAGTAGCAATGCTGGTGACCTAACACATCATTTTACATAAAATTTGTGAGTACTCATCATGCCAGTCTGCATTAGGGCATGCATTGTTGTTTTAATACAGAAAAAACATCTAGCTGATTAAAACAAACAAACAAACAAAGCAATAATGCACACCTGTATAGTTTACTTTATCTTTTACTTATAAATAATATACCTACATATTTTTATGTGTCACCTTTGTGTGTAATAGCTACTGCAAGCTCACAATATAGCCATTATGATCTATTACCAAGTTCTGACCATTATGAACATGAATAAATGACATTGATACATACAGTAATTCATTCATGTGATACACAGTGGCATTAGAGGGTATTTGAATCCTCACACAAAAGAATCACTGCTCACTAAAAGTTCATAAAATATGGCACTTTATAAGCAGGAATTGTAGAGTTGATGCTATACCAATGTATAGGAATTATGCCACTCCACTCCATATTACTGTCTGTTGATGAATGTGAGGGGAATGTCTCTTCTGTGTTTTCTAAAGTTAAGTAGAGTACGTAAAACTTTACACACTATAATGCTGTAAGGGGAATAATGAAAGCACATGTTTGAGGTAAGGCTGAAAAATCAAAGCCTTAAGTAGACAAAGGCATTAAGAGAAGTGAATATATATTTTAAGGTCCAAAATGCAGAATCATGACTTCTGCAACATTTGCACCACAAAAAAACATACTTGCAGTAACAAATCACAAATGATGAATGTTCACTGTGAAGGTCGCTTCTGAAACTGTCTGCTTTCTTGGAAGGTATCTCAAAGCAAATCACCGATCGGGCAGCTTTAAGTCTGTCTCCGGAGCATCCTAACATGTACAGTATATTGAAATCCTGAGGGAGTGCTCCACCCCCAGTCTCTGAGATTTTCCCAACAGAATACTCAGACCACTTGTAGATATGTCGATTTAAAGTCTGTTCCGAGTGCGTTTTTAGCATTGCATTTGTAAATGCCTGAGTTCATGAGCATAGGGTTCTGTATGACCAGACTGCCCTCCTCTGTCATGTGAATCCCTCCCTGCACTGTGTACCGGTTGTGTGGAACCAGCGTTGTGCGTCCAGGCAACGTCCATGATATATCTGGCTTGGGAAAACCAGTTGCAACACAATTTAATGTCACTGGTGATCCCCGGTTGACTCTTGTGATTGAAGTTAGTGTGTTAGTGATACGTGGTGGGAAAACCATGACCGCAACTGGATAAGATAATGTTGATGAGCCAAAAGAGTTGTAGGCTTTACAGGTGTATGTTCCTTTGTCAAATGTAGTGACCTGCCGGAGCTGGAAGGTCCCATTTGCAAAGAAAGATATTCGGCCTATGGTTTGAGGTTTGTCCAAAACAAGGCCATTGGGTAGGGTCCATGTGATAGATGCCTGTGGCCAGCCATCCACAGTGCAGGGCAAGTTGAGACTGAGGCCGTAAGAGATCTTCATCCCACCTGGAAATGTGAAATTGTAACAGTGAGTGGGTGTCATGCAAAAGTGATAAAAACTGACACAATACAAGAGAAGCCAAATTGAATATGACTTCCTCATGTGCTGTCAGGGTGCTTTCCAACCTGTGTTGTTCATTCTGGCTGAATCAGATTCTGGCTCAGTTTACCCATTGGTACCATTCATTTTGGCATATCTGAACACAGAAATCATACTCCGACTCCTAAGAGGAAGTTTGTTGCCTTCTAGATATTTTTGCAAATAGGACCATCTTCGGGACCTTTAGCCCATGACACCTTTAACCAGTGAGTGAAGTGAATGTTGTCATGTGACTTTTAATGATTCGTTCTGGTGCATTTTAATTTTTTCTGTGTGGAAAAAAAGAGAAGTTTACCAACCTCTCTCTGATTCAGACCAGAGCACACAAACTATAGGTTTGAAAACATCCTTAGCTTTTGTGTTGCCCAAACAAAGAAGATTTGTTAAAATACAAAATACATACCTGTAGATCCTCTGATCACCGGTTTCCTGCCTGCCTCCAGGGCATAACGTTTCTCTGCTTGTCCTGCCACATTTTTTGCTAGGCACCGGTACACCCCCTTATCACTTGCAACTGGTTGCCAGATCCGTAGAGTTCCGTTACCCTGATGATGGGTGAAACGTTGGAGTCTAACACCAGGCATTAACATCGTTCCATTGGGTAGTACCCATGCAAACTCTGGATTTGGCTTGCCACGAGCAGGACACTCTAGGATCAGTTCCCCACCATCTTGCTTTATTGGTAAGATTTCAATATTGGGAACAGCAAAACTAGGTTTCTCGGCTAGTGATGCCACATCTAATTCAACCAAAAATGAGGCCTCACCCAGATTGTTTTTAGCCAGACACATGTATCTCCCTTCATCTGTTTTCCTCACTCCTCTCAACTCCAAGCTTCCGTTTCCATGGACTTGGAAGCGACCACCAAGGTAGGGTGTTGTGAGCGATAGGCCATATGGAGTAACCCACCAGACTCTTGGTTCAGGTTTCCCTTCCACTCTGCAATTCAGAAGCGCTGTTTGATAGGAAACGCCCAAAACCTTTGAGGTACTCTTCCCTTTCATGCCATTGATAAAAGGCTCCTGGGGTTCAACTTCAAGTTTCGTGTTTTTAACATCATCACCAGCAGAATTTCGTGCCACACATGCATATTTCCCTTCATCAGCCAGTGTTACTTTATTCACTACTAATGTCCCATCATCCATAATCTGAATTTTGTCCGATGAGGCAGATATCACATCACTTCGTGGCGAGATCCAGATGATTCTTGGTGCAGGTTCACCTGTTGCCTGACAACTCAGTTTAGCTGACTGTCCTAACTTTACTGTAACCACTGACTGTGATTTTAATCTAATCTTTGGAGCATTCGGTTCCACTTTGACACTCACTTTTCTTTCATCTTTGCCCAGTTTGTTCTTGGCATAACAAGTGTAGTCACCCTCATCTTTTTTGCCCATCTGCTGGAGAAGTAAAGTTCCATTGCCAAAAATAACATAGCGGCGGTTGCGGAGGCCACTGTCATCCGACTGAAGAGCATTGTTGATTAAAGTTCCATCTGGGAGACTCCAGGAAACCTCTGGATCGGGGAGGCCTGTTGCAACACAGTCCACCTAGAACCCCCAGCACGGACTGTTCGCCTCCCTACCCTCCAGTCGGAGGTTCAGAAATGTGAAATGCAGGACCACTAGACTGAAAAACTCTTTCATTCCCTATGCCATCAGACTCCTAAACAGCTGACTCAGGGTCTACCTCATGTAATTCCATCTGGACTGTTTACATACTCAATTTGCACATGCACAATTACACACTCACTACAGAGTATATACACTCCACGGCTCCCACGTAGCATATATTTTCTCTGCATTATATTGTGTTCTTGTTGTATTTTTATTTGCTCCCTTCACTTGCTGCTTTAAAGTGCCTTAGATTTGTGATTTTACTGCCTATTTAGATTTGTGTTATTGCTCATCCACTTTATATTTCACTTTATATTTCACTTGTATAATGTGGCATTCATGTGGACGACAAAGTAAGAATTTCATTGTACAGGGAAACACGTTTCCTAACTGTGCATATGACAAATAAACACTTTGACCTTTGACCTTAAGCCCTCAAAGACATAAGTGACGTCACCTGTAAGTGATTGACTCCGAGAATCTGCGAGGGCTGGAAATTGTGTAAATAAAAATGGGACAGCACTTTGTGACTTAGGCTATGACATCACCATGACAACGCCAAAACAACACCATGATTTTAACTATTGTGGGTTTAGAGCTTTTTATTTTAGGTTTTTTACTTTCCTCAGCCAAGACACCTCAGGGCGTGACTTGCTGATTTGAACATGATCCAGACTCTTGCCTTGCAGAGCAGATGAGGGGCAATAGTCAATTACCTTATCAATTTAATATATGCTTTTTGTCAAAACAGCAAAAAAGAAAATAAATATTTGATGAATGAAGTTGGTGTGTAATATAGAATGTTTATGTTTGTTAGGCTACAGTTTTTAGCAGATGCTTTTGACCAAAGCCACATACAATAGCATTAGAATAACAATTAACATAAGAATGAATGTTCATTTACTGTTCATTTTCTTATTTGTGTTTTATGGCATTTGTTTACCTTTTTACCCTTCCAGCTAATCCCATGGTTAATGTCACAGTGCTATGAACTGTGGAGAATTCCCTCAGACCAACTCTGCAGAAATGCCGACTTACAAAAAGTGAGCATAAAGAGCTCAAAATGAGGATAAGCGAACCCTTGTGCACTTGACAATTTCACAGTGGGACACTCCTGAGCCCTCATTAACTTACTGGGAACACACCTTAAAGTCTGTGAGTCTGTGAGTGTGGACACTGGGATATCATTTTCCAGTAATAAACATATAGGTTACTACTTGGTTGAGGTTAGAAGTAATCATAGTCATGGTGAAAAGAAACTAATAGTAAATGGCACTGTCCTTTTTCTTGGAAGGACAGTCTCAAATAAGCGATAAAGTAAAGTAGAAAGCACAGGTGGCATGGAAAATTTGTCCATAGCTTTAAAGTACCTATGATGTATGATCCCACCTATTTTACTAGCACCACTAATATACCTGGAATTTTTCTCCGAAGGCGACCCTGGTCTGTGCAGTCCGAACATGTTCGATCCTTGGAGGAGTCATTAACACCTCCACCTGATAAAGCAAATATGTGAAGAACGTTAGTTAAGAAACAGCAAACGTTTTTCCCCATGCATAGAACTTTGGTGAATTCATTTTGTTCTGACAAACTAATTGTACATTTTTATCCCTCTGATGTGCAAAATGGGTCAAAAGTGACTCCAGTGAATGATTTTGTTTAATGTCTTTGCATGTGATGCAGGTTGTCACTCAGTATTTAATGATTTCAAATCAAATCAAATTTATTTATATAGCACTTTAAAACAACATCCATCCTACTTTACATGGGAAAATAAAATCACAATAAATGACTAAAATAAAGTAAATAAGATCAGTGCAAAAAATAAAACAGCACAATAACACAGACACACATAACATATGTTCAATAAATTAAAATTAAATTAAAAGGAGTTAAAAGGAATGCATCAAGCCCTACTGTGTATTAAAAGCCAAGCCAAATAAATATGTTTTAAGCAGGGATTTAAAAGTAGTCAGGTCAGTAGCTGACCTAACATTATAAGGTAGACTATTCCACAATTTAGGGGTTGTAACAGTAAAAGCATGGTCACCCCAGCATTTATATCTGACCCTAGGAACCTCTAAAAGAAACTGGCTTGAAGATCTGAGGGACCTTGTAGGTTTGTGCCAGTGCACTAGTTCAGTGGAGTAAAATAAAGCCAAACCATTAAGAGCCTTAAAAACAAAAATCAATAACTTAAAATCAATTCTAAAACAGACTGGAAGCCAGTGGAGAGAGGCCAGTACAGGGGTTATATGGTCAAATTTCCTAGTACCTGTTAAAAGACGAGCAGCAGCATTTTGCACCATTTGGAGACAAGTGAGAGAGGATTTCCTCAACCCAGTTGTCTTTTTTTTTTTTTATTTTACATTTCATACAATTATTTTTATGTTATGTAATTTATTTTTGAATTTAAAAAATTATCATATTCAGAGGTGTTCCTAATATTCTGACCCTCTAATTTATGTCAATGGGCAGGATGAAAATATAGAGATATCTCTGAATATAATGTAATCCAGTACGATGCCACCTATAACTATGACCTCAATAATGAACATATAATTGAATTTATACATTTATAGCAACCTATTTTGAGCTTCATAAACACAAATGCATTGCAGTGCATACAGATGTACAGGTGGTCATAATGTTATGCCTGATCATTGTATACTGCAAAATAAAAGTCCTTCTCTTATTACTGTATGTACAAAAATCCTCTGATTCCTGAAGGATGGCATATTAAGGCAAATTAGAATCCTTTACACCACTGACTTTGATAGTCATTGACAAGTGGATTCTTAATGAACAAAAATGTTCAGTCATAAATTAAAAGTAGAGGAATGGAAAAGAGTTGACAGTGAAATATACTCGCTTGAAGTTGTTTTCTGTCCTGTTCATACCTGGAAGAGCTCCATGTCCTCCCCATTGGGCCGCTGAAAGACACATACATAATTTCCACCATCCAGCTCTGTTAGTTGAAGAATCCTCAGAGTCCCATTCTGGAAAACTTTAATTGGTCTCTCTGGACTAAAGGCAGGTGGGGGAAAGAAATGAGACTGAAGAAGTCAAGTTTAATGGCAACAGTAACATTTTAATGTATTTATAATTTGGTCTGTACTTTAATGGTTTATGGAGTTTAAAAGTGGCATTTCAGTTACCTGTACCGATGCTCCATGATGGTCTTGGAGGGTAGTTGCCAGATGGTCCCTCTTGTGGATCCAGTAGACTCTGGACAGTGAAGGTAGACAGCAGAACCATACATAGCTGAGACAGAGTGTTGGCGGGATGGCACAGCATGTCGGTGGATTGGAGGGATGGGAAGAGGAGGAGGTTGGTGTGAGAAGGAGGGGGGATCTGACCTCACCTCCAGCTGGATGGTTCTTTTAGCAATGCCCACAACATTAGTGGCCAAACACTCATACCTGAGAAAAGATCCATAGCAGATGGGACTTACAAACTCACAGCTTAGTGAAATCATAAATCACCATTTAACAAATATGGCAAATCTAAAATCCCCATAATTCTATTAGGTATATGACAAAAAGCTACAATACTGGTTCAATAAAATCACAGTCGTAGTCATATCCTGCTAGGAACTCAGGAGTGACCACAGAATTCTAATGCTAGTAGTTTCCGTGCTGTTGCTCACCAGGAAAGTTTAAAATAATTTCCATTGTTAGTTTTCATGGGAGATTTACGAAACCTTGCTGCAAACAACAGATAAGCACCTTGGTGTTAAAGGTAGCTAGTGAACAGAGGATGTTCGCAATGAACCACCTACAAGACAGCTATAACCATCAATGTATGATGATATGCTGCTTAAGATTGAACATATTTGTTTCATTTAAAAATGTTCAAAGTACCATCTACCAGTGTATTCTGTCATAATGTCATAACATCATTTCATGTAAAACTCATAGTAAATTTGTATCTAGCCTCTGTGGTGTTATACAATCTCCATTATTTGGAACTGAGCGCATAATAAAACTTATGGCCTTTATAAAATACAATACAATACAAAAAAATCAATTCTAGATTTTCATACCAAAAAAATAAAAAACTTAGAAGGAAACCAAAAAATAAATAAAGAACATTCTAGTTTAACTAGGTTGCTTGACTGGATCATGGCTGATGACCAGGCATGTGCACAAAGAGACCCCAGGTGGTGCTCAAGCACCTTCCCTTTCACCTTCTGATTTGATAAGTGCCCCTTTTTGCAGGACAGGATTTTTAAATCAATTTTCAATTTTATATATTTACTATTTATTTTAGCTTTTAAAGAATTTTCATTGTGGTCAGATTTACCATTTATGTACTAATGCAAAGATGTGGGACAGGTGCCCCCTTTTTTTTTCTTTGCTTGAGGGCCTGTCCCCCAAAATGTCTGTCCACAGGATTGCAGATGACAATTATTTAACCAGACGTTTGAACAGCACATACATACAGACAGAATTATATTAAAATACATTAAAATGAATACATACCTCCCACCATCAGATGGCAAAACATTCTTCACAAACAGTGTCCCATTGGGAAAAACAAACAGCCTGCGTCCCAGGACCTGCGATGGCTTAACATGGAGGCCTGCCGGGAGTATCCATTTAAGAGCAGGCACTGGTTCACCCTTCACAGAGCAGTGGACATACACATTCCTGCCTGGGTAGATGGGATTTTATGAGTTTAGATTGCTTGTTTTGACATTGTGAACATTCTGTCTTTATTTATCGAACATATTGTGAGAAAAACTTTTTATTATGGAGGTAGCTGTGTTTTGTATAACTTTAAATTTCTGCACCATACCTGGCTGAATGATCACAGTATCCATTACTCCTTCACTTATGCTTGGAGGTAGAGCTGCCACATGGAGGTGATAAGTGATTGTATCAGCACCTGCTGCATTACTTGCAATACATTTATAGTCTCCTTTGCTGGAGAAATTGGAAGAGTGAATTTGTAGGGTCCCATTTTGAAGCAGAGACACTGGAGAAAGGAGAGTGTGAACAGTCCCAACTTCACGTACAAATGTCCTGTCTGGAAGAATCCAGGAGATTTGGGCAGGTGGTTTTCCAGATGCAAGGCAGTTGAGAGCCACACTTTTCCCTAGGTATGCTGCTATCTCTGTGGACTTAGGCAGTTGGATTTTGGGTGTCTCAGTCTGCACAGCTAAGGTGATGACCATGCGATCTGATCCAAACCTGTTCTGGGCTGTGCAGAGGTACTGGCCACGATCCTGGAGCTGGATGTTTTTAATAACAAAAGTTCCATTTTTGAATACTTCAAAGCGGAGACCGTGCTTGGTATTGGCTGGAATTGTGGCACCTGAGGCAGAAACAGAAAGGTAAAATGATGAAATGGTGACAATTTCTGACTAAATTAAATTAAAAAAGAAAAAAAAATTGAATACAATGGCAGAGAGATCTGACACAGGGGCCAATGAAAATGGGCTCTCTTCATCTCTTTGTATGTTACCTGTAGAGACTTTAGTCCATGCAATATTTGGTTGAGGATTTCCTGTTGCTTTGCAAGGCAGGATCACATCACTCTCTGCCAGCACCGACACACTAGCTGTAGTTACTGTGGTAATGTGAGGCTTCACCCCACCACCCCCAGCTCCCAAAACCCATGGGAAAGGAGGTGCAGCTGTGGGTCGCAGAGAGCTGATTTTTCCTGCTACAAAGACACATTCAATCATCAAAAATGTTATTATTTTAAAATTAGTTATTAAAATATTTTGTTATTTTCCATTATAAATACATAGCTAATTGTTTCAGTTGTACACCTACCTCCAATGGGCTGCTGACCCTCATACAGAACCCCAGGGGTGGTGGGGTGGTAAGGGTGAGGTGCCAAGATGAAACCAGGGAGTGATGATAATGAAGGCTTAGCAGGATTTGGAGGTTGCTGGGTGTTAGTGTAAGAAGCGGTAGGTGCTGGTGGTTTGGGGATGAAGGGTCTATGTGGAGAGGGAGGGTTGGGCTTAGGTGTAATGAGGAGTAGAGGATCATGGTAGCTAGAGTGAGGTTTGGGTGTCACCATCCTGCCAAGCTGAGCAATGCGATCAAGCTGTGCCTGGAAAAATTCAAATAAAAATGTATAATCAACCTGAAGTCATTATAGTATCAGCCAGTTTCTATCTGAAATGATACATTTTATGTCAGATTCATCATCTTTGCCCTCATTAGCAATTGTGCTATTAGCAGTTGTGCTGCTAGCAAAGTCATGTTAAAATAAAAAAAATAATAGAAATTGCCAGCAACAATATTTGTTGTCAGTACAGAAAAGCCGCAGCCAGTTATAAACACACATACAGTATGATTACGTTGTGAGTGAGCGGTGTCCGATAAGAGAGGAGCAAGGACCTTTTTCTAGCACATATACTGTAGACGTAAAGCTATGCCTACCCTAACAGAAACATTTTACTGGTTGAGGTCACCCTGAAAAAGAGGTGCATCATAACTGCAACATACTGTAAGTGAATATGCTGTTGGTCTGTGCTATGTCTGTGTATTTTCTTAATAAAAACACAACCTTGTCAGTCAAAAATCATATATTGGTCTACTGTTTTGAAATCACTTAAAGCTGCATCAGTTATTTTTTGGCCATTAGTAAAACCTCAAATCAAATTAACAGATGATGTTAACATACAACCCCATTTCCAAAAAAATAAAAGAAATATTTTGAAAGCCCATTATATCCCATATTCATTTGGTAACAGTACAAAGATAAATGCTATATATTTCTATATATTTGCTTTCATGAGAATCATCTGGCCCAACTATTTAAATGTGTTCCCAGCATCAAATATTAAAATGAGCATATTGTTTGTAAATACTACTACTACTACTACTACTAATAATAATAATAATAATAATACATTCTGTTTCAACATTTGATTTGTTCTTTGTTATACTAATGTACTGTATATGCGATATTTTCAGTTTATATAATTTGCAAGTCATTGCATTCATTTTTTATTTACACTTTATGCAGCGTCCTAACTTTTTTGGAAATGGTTGCTGTGGTTGCTCCCCTTTTACTTCTGACTCTTCACCAACAGCTAATACAATTTTCAATTTTGTTCAACAGCTATTTCCTAATTTTGTCTATGTCTGTTTGGTGCCCAGAATTAGGTTTACAGTGAAATAAATTTTTGATGGAATAAGCTGCCTGCTACTGCTGAAAAATAATATATAAGAATAATATAATAATAATCTCAACTGTTTTAAAGTGTAAAATTATAATAATCTGAGCTGAACCAACTGACGTCACAGTCAGTACCGCACCAACCTCTTCCTCATCAAACACCTGTAAGAGCTGTGTTGTAATAGAAGATCTCCTGGTTGCACCCAAACATACTGCTGCTGCTGATGCCTTTGTTTACTTTAGATGTTTTAACTTTTCATAGCAGTCAACATATTAGTCAGTCACTTCAGCGAGCCAGCATGCCTCAAAGTAGGGCCCTTGACAGGGTAAAACAATGGATTTAAGTTACTATTAATGTTTTAATTACACCTGTTGTGTGGCTATAACATGTCAAAATGCCTGCCATGAAAGAAGCTTGCATTTGAGCCCAAATTTACAAACACTGAAGTTAAAATCATACATACTGCAAGGCAAGCAAACTACACAGAGCACTTTTCATTTATGGTATTGTACAGTATGTTTATGAAGTACACTATGGAGCTTTAAATACACAAAGTCACATATTACATACTGCATATTATCGTACCTGTCTGTACCTGTTCCTTAGCCTTGATACTAGTTGATCTCTAGTTTGGGGCCTACTATCCACAAGATGATTTTGATGATGAGGATGTGTCAGGTATGAATTGGAGAGTGTAAATCTGGAATTTCCTGTTGTTTCAGAAACTGCCGGTATGGGTTTGACAGTGTCAGCTGTGATTTCAGGTCTGTTGGTGACAGCTGGGATTGGAACCCAGGGGTGGTGGAGTGGCCAGGGCCGATGGGTGGGCTCAGGGTGTGACCCTGGACCTAGGAACAGAGAGTGAACACTGAGTTACCTATCATAACATAACACCAAGCCATCTATCCATTATCTATATATTCCTGACTAGAGTCATGGAGAGTGGAGCCAATCCCAGCTGACCCTGGGTGAGAGGTGGGGTACACCCTGGACAGGTCATCAGTTTATCACAGGGCTGATACGTAGACAAACAACCACACACACTCACACCTATAGACAATTTAGAGTCTCCAATCAACCTAAGCTGTGGGAGGAAGCCAGAGTACCCGGAGAGAAACCACACACACAAGGAGAACCTTCATGTTGTGAGGCAACAACACTAACCACAGCTGTGCTGCCCCAACACCAAGCCAACTTAATATTATTTTGGGTATATTAGCTAGGAAAGTCAATATAGCAGTCTTGTTTAAACTGCATTCCTCATATACTTTTTTATCAATCACACTTTACTTCAAAACAGTGTTTAATAATTGCACAGCTGCTTTACCTTTGCTTTGATGAGGAAATGACCTCTGATCTGGCCAGGAAGGGTAGTGGGGGTAGTAATGATGATGCTGATTCTGTGATGGCCGGTGGAAATTCGGGGAGACTCTAGGAGGCTGGGGATTCCTGCCAGGATTCACTTCACCCCGTCGTCCTGTATTTCCATCTTGGTTTGTGTGTGTTGCCCTGGAAATGGTATCTTGCCCTCTTCCCTGGTTGTTCTGATGGAGCCAGGGGTGAATTGGCTCCATTATAGGGAAATTGTGGATCTCAGGCTTTACTCTTGGCTTGTGTATGTCTTTATTTTCTTTCTGTGCGACTTCTTCTCTCATTCTGCCTGTGGATGAATGTGAAGTAATGACTTTGGAAGATGAAATTCTCACTTGTGTTGGTGTATTCTGTTTTACTGAAGGTTGGATGTTTGATCTCGGTCTGTTTTGTGTTGTTAACCGAATGCTATCTAGTGTGTTGTAGCTCGGGGTAACCCACTGCTTTTTAGATCTTTCTGTCTCTCTCTCACTGCTTTCTGTGCCTATTTTGTGTTTTTCTTGCCATTCCTTTACTCTTTTTTCATCCCTTTCACTCTCTCTTGCAAAGCTGTTATGATCTCTGCCCTTTTCTTCAGTTTGCAGTTTGATCTCGACCCTGTGTCTTTCAGATTTCTCTAAGTTCACACTGTTTTTCTTCTTTTCCTCAAAAGTCCTTTCAGTTGGATGTGGGGTACTATCTAGCTTTGTAGTGACAATGGTCTTCAGAAAAGGTACATTCTGTCTATCTGGAAAAGTACCAATGTCGGCAACTTTTTCTGTAGTTGATGGAAATGTGTTAAGGCTGCTGTCAAGATTATGGGTGGTATCAAGAGTTTCACTGTTTAAATCTTCTTTGGCATCCAAAATATCACTCTCCTTATAATTATAGTCTTCATAGTATTCACTTTCATCTTCCTCTGTCTGATACTCAGCAGATAAGGTTTCATGGTTTTCCACTGTGGTTGCAATAGGTGTTGTGGTAGTGGCAGTGGTAGTGGTAGTGGTAGTAGTAGTGGTGGTAGTTGTTGTAGTTGTAGTCGTTGGTGTGGTGGTTGTTGTTGGGGGAACAGTTGTTTGGAGCTTGTTTGATGAATGGGAGAATGTGTTTAGGTTTGGATGGACTGTTCTCATTGGTGGTCTTCTACGTCTGTAAGGGGGCCTTCTCCTGTTGGTGTGGCCAGGAATGAGGTTGTAGTTCTTTCTTCCCTCTCCAGAGTGCTTATTTCCAGACTCATCAACTGGCTGAGGAGCTCTAGCAGCTGGAGGGTCTGTGATAGATTCTGTTTTTTCTGTGACCCCACCAACATGATGTAAGGATGGTTCTGTGCTTTTGGGAGTTGGAGGTTGTAACAGCTGTGGCAAAATATCTAATGTTTCAGAGTCTTTACCATGAGTCCATGAGTTCTCTGTCAAATGGATGTCAATCCTAGCTCTTGTGTGAATAGGAAAATGTGTTGGCTCTATTACAATATCAAGAGAATTAGTAGTATGGGGTAGGTTGATAGAAGTAGTAATAAGTGTACTGGTAATTTCAGTAATAGGTTGGGACTTTCTTGTTTGGACCGTTACAGTGCTGGGCTCTTCTAGTGACTGCTCTGTTGGCAGAGCAACACTTGGCTTAGCATTAGCTTTAGCTAATATCTCTGCCCAGCGATTTGGATCTAATTCCTTAACTGATTTATTGGGTTTTCTTTTTGAATTTTTAATATTTAACCTTTTTGAAAACCCACTGGAATCCCTTTGCTGTGTTCCTGTCTTCTTAGGCAATTGTGTAGCAAAAGGGCGTATAATTTCCTGGTAGTTTCCTCCTGAGCCTTCGCCTTCATCCACGCCAGCTGGCAAGATCTGCTGCTCTCTCTCAGTCTGTACTTTGGAAATTTCAGAAGCTTTCTCTCCTGAGACTTCCACCATGTGTGACAGCATGTCCACCCCATACAGATTTGAGGTCAAACAGCTGTATTCACCTGAATCCTCTTGTGCCATTATCCTCACCACCAAAGTCCCATTTTCTATCACTTCTGCTCGCCTTGTTTGTTGTGTGGGGAGAAGAATTTGGTTTCTGGGCAGGTACCACATAGTTTGACTGGGCTGGACAGAGGTCACATTACAAGGAAGTATTAAAGATTGTCCCTTTTCAACTATAACTTTCTGACCATTAAAAGCAGTTGGACTGAGTGAGTGTTGTTTGACGGTGAGCCTTAGAGGCATCAAATCAACACCAGCTTTGGTTCTGACCATACAATGATAGAGGCCAGAATCAGACAGTGTCACATTTAAAATCTCAAGTTCTCCTCTTTCAGAAACTTTGATTTTATCGGTTGCATCCTCCGCAACAGACAAATCTGGAAGTATCCACTCGACTTTAACGTCTGGATCTGAAGTAATGACACTGCACTCCAAGCGAATCTTTGAACCCTCAAGAGTTGTCTGAACCCGTCTTTCTGTGCCTCTGCGAATCATTGCCCAGGAAGAAGTGAAGTCATTGTCATTGTCCTTCCCTCTATGGCTGTTGATGTGTGTGGTGATTAAAGTAGTGAAATCCATCACCAGCTTCTTAGATGATGTCTGTTTTCTGTTGAGCCTCAAAGTGACTCTGGGTTGAAGCAGCCACAGGGGTTCTGCTTCCAAATATCCTTTTAATTCTGTGAAATATGGGGAATTTTCATTTACAGCTTGGGCATACTGATAGGTTACTTTGCTTGCATTTCCTCCCTCTCTCTGTTGACCTCTCTCCAAGATAGCAGGAGTTTCATAGTAATATGCAACCAGTTGCCATAGATTTTGCAATGTCTCCCGATCAATCTCACACTCAAGGACAGTCACCAGGGAGACATTGACAGATACCTCCCCGGGTGAATGTGGATTTACAGTCCAAGTCATAGCTGGACTGTCTTCAGGGTGACGCACATTACATGCTACATGAGCATGGTTTCCGTGGCTGTCAGAGAGAACAAAGTTCAGGTGGCCTAAAGGCTTTTCAAAGTCCCTGGTGTATGGTAGGTCAGGCTCTGCTTCAGATTCAGCCCACACTGGATTATCCCACTGTTTGAGGGGAGAGTGAAGAGCCGGCCGTTCACAGGTAAGCTTGTCTGCGGTCAGTCCCAGCAAAAGGGTCCCATTTAGTGGTTGTGGAGAGGAGCACTGGGGACAAGTCTCACTGGAGCCACGTTCCTTCTTACACTTTATTACACCTGGGAGAGAGAGGAGGAGGAATCATGGAGACAGTGCATGAGATTAGACGGAGAGACAAAGGAGGACAAATAGGAAGTTGCAGTTGAAGAGATGTAGGTAAAGACAGAGTAACAGGAAAAGCAAGGAATGAATAATGATAGGAGACAAGAAAATAAGAAGGAAAGGTGAAAATAAAACATGACTGGGGTGATGGTGGTTTAGAAATGCAAATGGAATTCTCTCTCCTAGTGTGCTGAAGTTCAGTCAAGGTTCATAAATCTGCCAATATATTTATAGCAGCCAAATGTTTCAAATGAAACAGATCATAAACAAAAAAAATATATTATCAACTTCTCTGCTGCTACAAACAGCTAGCATATGGGGCTGCGATAACATAACAAAGCATGGCAAATGAGAGAGAGAGCACATGTGCTATGAAAAGTACTGAATGAAAAGGAAGAGTGAGGAAAAGTAAACAATTTAATCAAATTTATAGCCTGCATATGGAGAAAATACACTCAATGTACTGAGAGTAGCTATGTCTTTTATAGGCTTGATTGGAGACATGCAACATTTGTTCTCCTAGAGCAATGATCTGCTTATGGTCAAAGACATGTCAAAAAACTAAAGATGCACCAGATGGTGAGAGCACTCAGCTGAAAGATGCAGTTAGTGTCTAGGTTGTGACCAAAGTGGAGCATTAGCAGGTAAAGAGCCAAATTTTTCTCCTGGGGGCTTGAGACCAAAACCAGAGCTAAAAGAAATTGAATGTTGAATTTACATATAGACAGAAACACAAGTCCAAATGAAGTATAATGTTTTCATATAACCAATGGTTGTGAAATAAGTGTTGGCTAACTAGTTAGCCATATCAAACTAAAGTGATTTCTAAGTTTGTATGGGACTTTCACATGCGAAAATAATTTGAAAGGGGTTGTGAAGTCACAGAGAATTATCACCGAGATCTGCCTTACCCCTCAACTCTATGTAGTTTTAGCATTTTTCTTTAGGTTCATGGTTTTGTTTTTAAGGGCCAAAACATCACTGTTTTAGTTCACTTGTCTTTCAGGAGCTTAATTTCCAGCTACAGCTTGGACCTGTCATCACTGAGAACTGATAAGCTACTGTGAATATTTGCCCAGCACTAAATACTGTACACTAGCAACTAGCTAGTCAACACGGCTGTTTTTTTCACTTCTCAAGACACAGGTGGAGACCAAACCAAATGGAGGATGAAACAAGAATAAATACTGACTATTGAGCTGCTGGGCACAAATGTAAGTCACAATAGATACCAATGTTGTTTTGTTTCTTCTCAGAATATAAATAGGTAATGGTTTGTTAACAGGTATACCTTCAAGCAGCCAAAAAAATTAATTAAATGCAGCTTTAAATGTTACCCACTTCTTCATGGTTGTTTATTTAAATATTTGTTGACCACATTAGATAAAAGTGAAGAAGTCAATGAATAAGGTGTCAAATTACATGACGTTCTGATGTGAGAAAATTAGACTTGGCTATTATTCCATGTGGTTTTACCTGGATGTGTGGAGCTCCAGTCTACCAACCAGTGGAGTTGACAGTCACAGGTCCAGGGGTTACCATGAAGAGAGAAGAGCTCGAGCCTGGGAACAGTTTTCAGTGCTGCAGCAGGAAGTTGCTCCAACAGGTTGTCTGACAGGTGTAAGTGTCTAAGAAAAACACATTATATCATTTTCTCCATTTATTGGTCTGTATAGTGGCAGGGAGATGGGACCTAACTTTACATGCATTGTGCAGAAGACAGGAAAACAAATATACAACTTTCCAAATATAAGACATATCCTTTAATTTCTTACTTGAGCCCAGAAGTCCAAAAGCTTCCTAACAGAGTTACTGTTATGAAGGTATGAGGGTGGATCTCTTTGAGGAGGTTCCCTTCCAGCTGCAGGAGTTTTAGGGAGATCAGGCCAGAGAAGGAGTATGGCTCTATAAAGTCTATAAGGTTGTGGTCCAGATGAAGACGGATCAAACCAACAAGACCCTCAAACAGACTGGGGTTTACTGATGTTAGCTTGTTGTAACTCAGTTTCAAGATCTGAAAAAAGAAAAACAGCATTATATTTTCAGATTTCTTAAACAGTGAAACTATATTACCTGTTAAATTTGTATAAAGAAGGACTTGACCTGAGTACCATATCTATGACATAGAATTGGCTAAGAAAAGAGCATACCTTCCTCCTTCTTGAAACTAGAGGTCTTTGGGGACTAGTCCAAAAAAAATCAAGGGCTCAACCCAAACCAAATGTAGTCTTGTTTTCAATTATGATATATTGACATACATGTTGTCTACTTAAAATGAAAAAAATAGGTTGTGACTGGACCCAACAAGACTCACTGCGTTTTTAGTTAGGCAATTAAAGTGCAGCTAATTATTTACTTGAATCTGGTTTAGGTAAGTGACACTGGATTTGGCTCAATTTGTACATGCACTGTGTGTTCTTCTGGTGTGGTTCACTTCCTTTATGTTGCCTATAGCACAGTGTGCTCTAACACATCTGTTTCTGTTTGTTGTGTGTGTCTATTCTATAAAAAAAAAAAGTCAAACTTAAAGAAAGCACCATCATCTTATTTGTGTAATGTAAATATTAGCTTGTCAATGAAATTTAGTGACCACTAGTGGTCTAATCATTGCTCCAGCAATGATCCGGAGCCACATCTGGAGACAGTACAGATACAGACACTCAAGAGGGTTTGACACAAATTAAAGACAGTGATTCAACAAAAAAACCAAGTATCTGACCACTTTCTCTTGATGTCTTCGGTTCGACTACAAACCACAATCTCTTGATAAATTACAGGACTTAATTTTTATCATTGAAATTTAAGTGCCATAATTCAGTCCCAGTTGCAGGTCCACTTGCTCTCAGATCCATAGTGCAGAAAATGCAAAACCTTTAATCATACCACCAAAAAGGTAGATGACACATTTAGAGGAGTTAAACTGTGGTGCAGTAGGTAACATACCAGGACACGCACACTCTGACACATACACTACCTGTAGTGATCTTAGGCTGTAAAAGGCCCCAGGGTGGACTGTGCTAATGTCGTTGCCATGCAACATGAGCATTTCCAGTTTCCGTAGTGACCTGAATTCTGACCCCTCCACCTTCGTCAGGCTGTTATAACTGACAGAGAGAGAAAATAATCAGGACGAGTTAATGGGAAGAAAGAACAGTGAGGATCAGGACACTAAAATGAATTAGCAGTCTGTTCTTGCAAGTATGTCTGAGTGATGAAACCTTTCAAATGAAGAGCTAAAGAAGGACAAAGAGATGACAAAGACCCCAGCTAACCTTTGACCGGCAATCATCATTCTTAAAAGTTCAACATGTGCAGGGAAAAGGAAAGACACAAAGACACACAAATCAAGAATTAACATCCTGTTTCTTCTTCGTAGACAGCATGTGGTCTTGGCATTGGCCCACCACAGAAATGCAATACAGACAGGTGGTTTTTGTATCAGTTTTTCCTTCTACATTGACATAACACTTTAAACCAGTAGAGGATGTGTGGCCAAACAATCAAAATAATACAAAGACCTGTTGGAAAACCTTTCTTTGAGCTTTTAGGTTTCAACAAACATCCTTCCAAGAGTCAAACTGATTACCGAGTACAGTATAGAACAGTAGATGCCAGAGCCAAAGGCATTATTCATCAAAGAAACAGTCTACAACAGAGCACACAGACTTTTGGCAGGGGCTGATGGAATTTTATAGATATCAATGTAAGGGAGTTGGTCAGACCTTCCAACAGCAGTATTGTCTAACAGACTCTAGTAGTGAGTTCCTCAGCTGTAAAACATGCAGCATTCCCAGGGAGCAGTTATCCTACCTAATCAAACACATACGGGAATTTCTGGAGTTTGCATTCTTCCACTGCTATCAATAAAACGGCCACTTACAGTATATCATCTTGTGGTCACTTTCATCTAGAGATTTTTTTCAGTACCATTAACCCTTGTGTTCTGTTAAGAATCTTAATGCACATGTTAGGGTAGAATTCCCCATTGGGAACTAAACTTTGAACCTTGCCAGTGTTTGAACTTTGCTCTTATACCATGACAAAATCTGTTGCATTCTTCCAGAAAACAGGAGCCCCTGGCACCCACAGTACAATTTCAAGGCAGACTGTAGCCACAGTAACCCTAAACTTGACAATCATAGTATGAAGAAACATTTGATATGTGTGAGCCATTCACTGTAAAGCGACATACAATGACTTGTCATGTAGCTTTGTCTTGCAAGGCTCAGTAACTTTGTTATAGCTAAGAAACAAAACCTGTTTTCTATATAGTGTCTAAATAAATTTAAAAAACATCTTTGAAAATGGAACCATAGATTCCAAGGTTTTTGTTACTCTGCAAGTAACTTGGCAATCTCACAGGTAAGACGCAGTGTAAGAGGAAAATCTGGCTACTGTGTGAGCCACTGTTTCTTGCAGGTGAAGTTTCCTTTTGGGACCAGACAATGGCAGAGGAGACTGAACACCAGAAGTGGGAGTAAGTCATACATGTGCAAGTCACAAGCAAGTCTCTAGCCTTAACCTTCAAGTCCCAAGTTACTGAAGTAAGAATCAAGCCAGTGGAATCCCTACCATAAGTCAAGTGGTCACATCATCACTCGAGCCAAGTCATGTGACTTAAGTCCCCCACCTCTCCTGGACACCACTGGAGGCATCAACAGTGTTCAGTATGAAACAAAACTGTATGTTACAAATGGTGTAGTTTCTGATTCACACATACTGTAGTTTAGTGAGCTGACAGGCACTTTGTTTGAAGCATATTTACTCAAGTACCACCAAAGGTTTCCCCTCCCACCTACTCTTTGTAGTCTAGCTTTCTTTGTATGTAAAGTTTAAGTTTCAGGCCTTGCAACTAAAAATCATGTGCTCAACTGGACAATTTGGTAACTTGCCATCCCTTGCAATTAAAGATCCATGAAGGCAAGCCAGAAAAACCAATATAATTGGATTTTAGTGTTATTCATGGAAAACTTCTTTTTCCATAATTATTATCACCATATCAGTTTGAACACAAGGAGAAACTGCTGAATCCTAAGCCCTGCTGTCACTATTTCATGCTTTCTGAGTATGATGAATTGCTGCGTATTAGATGTTAACATAAATCCTAGTATTGTGAGGCTGTTTCCTCAAGGTGGTCCATACTATGCTGTGTGGTACTAATCATTCGGCATGACGGTTTCTTCGAAGGAGCATGGAAACCGGCGTTTATTCAAACAGCATTACACTGCAGTGTAAATAAAACACTCAAAACATGCCTGGTGTGAACATATAGATAAGATAAGATAATCCTTTGTTGTCATTGTAACATGTACAATGAGATTTTAGAGTGATCTCCAGTCAGAACAGCAATAGAAAAAAAACATAACATATGAAATAAGACCATCTAAAAATAACTTAACCACTAGAAAACAAAATAAACAACAGACCTCTCACACTCCCCTCACACACACAGGCATATTATATTTTAGCAGCACTGAGTGTGGTAACTGCTGTTGGGTAAAAACTATCGTTGAATCTAGTGGTCTTTGATTTGATTACTCTGAACCGTCTACCTGACGGCAGCAGTTCAAAGAGTGAACATCCAGGGTGTGAAGTGTCCTTAATGATGTTCTGGGCTTTTTTGAGGCTGCGGGAACTGTGTAGTTCTTCCAGAGTGAGGAGAGGGCAGCCGATGATCTCCGGAGCCGTATTAATGACCCTCTGGAGCATTTCCTCTGAGCCACTGTGCTGCTGCTGTACCATACACATATTCAGTATGTAAGGGTGCTGTCAATGGAGCATAGATAGAAGGACACCAGCAGTTTCTGGGAGATGTTGTTCTTCCTGAGCACCTGTAGAAAGTACAGTCTCTGCTGGGCCTGGGTTAAGCAGTTTAGAGGATTCACGCCCCAGGTCGGATCCTCCTTAATATGATCTCCCAGAAAGTGGAAGGCCAGCACCCTCTCCACACGGTCCCCGCTGATATACAGTGGCAAGATGTAGTTTTTCTTCCTCCTGAAGTCGATAATGACCTCCTTAGTCTTTGAGCTATTAAGGAGCAGATTGTTCTCTCTGCACCACACTATCAGCCTCTCCACCTCATCCCTGTAGGTGGTCTCATCCCCCCCAGAGATAAGCCCCACCACTGTGGTGTCATCAGCAAATTTTACAATGGTGTTGCTGTGGTGGGTGGGGGTGCAGTCGTGGGTGTACAGGGTGTAGAGCAGGGGGCTCAGCACAGCCTTGTGGGGAACCAGTGCTGAAGATGAGAGCCGTGGATGCATGTGGGCCCACTCTCACCTTCTGGCTGTGTCCGGACAGGAAGCTCTTAATCCATATACAGGAGGAATATGGAATTCAGGTCAGACTTGTAATTTATTATACCTCTGGGTCAGAGATAGCTGTGGCTTAGGAAAGCCTCGAGGAACTGTATTCAAATTTGGCACATGTATCCACTGACAGGGTACAAACTGATTAGAGTTTGGCGGTCAAAGGCCAAAGTCATTGTATCCTCACGTCTGTCCCATTCCCAGTGAATTGGATTGGTTGGTGGAGGCATACAACCGTGAAGCAGTAATGCTACTTCTTAAAGAACACAAGTTGGTTGCAAAGCTTACCTACTTGGACAAGCAAGACAGAGCTTAGATTTATGCTTTATTGAATGTATTTTCATAGTGTAGGCATGTCTCACTTTTATGTTACAAATGAAAAGGCTTTTAGGATGAAGACTAATCACTTTTTTTGTGGCCTAATGCCACCTCAGGTAGCAAGCCAGACACGCTAACATTTATAGCTTTGAGTAGAATAGATAAAAGACTGTTTAATTTATTCTTCCTATAATCCCATTCACTCTGCTTCAACATGTTGAAATTCAAAGCTCGATGGGCATGCCCTGCCTAGTTACAGTACATTTAATAAGATATAAATAGAAGCTGGTCAATAGTAGGAAACCAGAAATGTGGAATCAGCCTCTCACATATTGTTGCTGCCATATGAAAACCATCCATTGTTTTTGATTGTTACAATATGGACCCACAATAACAGATTCCTTGTGTCTGTTTATGTGTGCTGTAAGTGTATCTTTATAATGCTTAAAGATAGGATCATAACAAAGAGCAGAACTGTTCTATAATTGTAGGTTTACTCTATTTAATTTGTCCCAAAGGGGATGGAGCAATTTTATATTAATATAACACCTGATGTTGCCAGACCCTTCCCAACATAATCCGTGCAGTGCAATGCTAGCTTTATAAACCAACATATGCATTTTGTTTTGGTTTAAGACATCATGTGGAATGCACTGGCTGTTACAAGAGCACAAATGGAGACAGATGGCCTCCTGTGGACTGGACTGTAGCTTGGCACCACATAACTTTTGTGACCATTTACCTACTAACACATTTTTTGTTTACCTTGAAGCTTTATATGTAGCAAATAGCTAGAGAGCCACTCTAAGCACAAATGTAATGCATGTGAATTTAGTGATAGTCTTTGGCACAGTGAAGCCTCACATGCAAATGGGAAACATCATGAACAAAAGTGTAATGCTGGTGGCTGCTTTTCTGTTTTGCCATGTAAATATGTATTGTTTAGAGCCAGTTACTAGACAGCGCAATTTGCTATACTAAACAGTGGCTAGGCTATTTCTCTGCTGAGCTAGAGGGCAGTGAAAGCTTGGTCCACAATTTAAAACCCATATGGAAGTGATTAGGAGATTTAATCAGTTCAGCACCACACACTGGTGCTTAGCCCTTATCTTCTGGGTTTATGCCAGAGCTACTTGCTGATTATTTCACTGATGAGACTGCTCTCTTTGGTGAAAAGGCATTGCTTTTGTCCTTAAAGATGGCTGACATATGATAAACTGATGGCAAGATGCAATGTTTTCATTTCATTGTCTTAGTGTGTCTATTTGCTTGTGTGTTTATGTAAAATGAATCAGTCTTACCCCAGGTTGAGCCTCTCTGTGTCTTTAGGGAAGGTTTTTGGTATGGCAGTGAGGTGTCTGAACGTACAGTGGACCTCTTTTACACCTGGACAGCTACAGCTCCGCGGGCAGGATGGGATGGCATAGACAGGGGAGATCTACAAGGGAGAAGAAACAGGTTGACGGATTGACAGGAAATGGTAAAAACAGAGAGCAATCAGATAGAGCGTTAATAAAAAGAGGGGACAGAAGAGATAAACAAGTGAAGGTATGATAAAATAGTATGAGAAAGTAGTAAAGTCACAATTTCAGAAAAGAGAAGGAGAAGCAAACAGATAAGTTCAGACCTGTGATTTAATTGTCTTGAGGCTTAAATAAAATAGACTAGGTGTATTAGCAGTGTGCTCTCCTGTGCCCAGTTCCATCAAGATGATTTATTAGATGATTTCTCAGAGCCAACATATTTTTTAAATCTAAATGTTTAGAGTTAATTTTACTCACATACCTATTCTCACACTGTGTTTTTAAACCTATATCATCTTCACAACTTTAGCAAACTTAACGATATGACTGTTCCTAATTATTCCCCACACACATATTGTAACACTTTCACGATGTTTTCTAGATTGAGTGTGCTATTTTAAGTGACTTTTATCAGTCAAACCTTGACCACTGACCACTAAAGTTTTACCATTTGCCACAGCAGTGATGAGAAGAGCAGGGGAAACCATGCTGCAGCCAACCTGCAGAAGACTTTGGTGCACCACCACAGCGCCATGACTGGATGGCTGTCTGACTGCTCACGCCATTAATGCACCTGCAAGAAGGGATTAATTTATTGAGATGCACAGATTCATGTCAGCAGTAACATACGATTTGTTGCAGGTCTGTTGGAATAGACTGTATCTTGTACCTACTATACTGGTGGCTCAGTATAGTAAACGGCCTTATACTTGCATAGTGCATTTCGATGCATTGCATGCACACTGAAAGCGCTTTCAAACTATTTGGCCATTCACCCATTCACACTACCAAGCACTGTCATCACCAGGAGCAACTGGGGGTTCAGTGTCTTGCTCAAGGACACTTGACACAAGCCAGGAATCAAACCGCTAATCTTCTGGTTAGGAGATGACCCACTCTACCTCCTGAGTCGACCCATTATTGAATAGCAATCACAATGGTATTGATTAATGTGTAGAGTGGATGATGATAAAGAAAACGTAAACCATACTTTACCATAGCTTTGCCCAGTGTATACTGAGATGGATTTCAGTCCCTGCACCACTGAATAGAATAAACAGGTTATAGAATGGACAGATGGATAGGTCAGTAATACTAATCATAATTTGGTTGCTACATTACTAAATGAATAGCTTGATCAATGCAATATCGTTTTTTTTGGCCACTTGAGGGAAGCAAGCAGTAAAACAATTTAAAATATAACTATAAAGCTGTGAGCTGTAAAACCAAAACTGTTTCCTCAGTGATGAAAAACAGCAGTGCTCAGGAGAATTAGAGAGTTGGATGATAAATCTCCATGTACTTATCACAACAAATGATCCCTTTCATATTACATGCAGTCTTTAGATCCATTGTCAACATAAAAATACTGAGAAGATCAGCTTTAAGATAATTGTTTATTGTGTACAAACATACTGTTCCTGTTTGTAGCTAGCTACTTACTAACACTATACTTCTAAAAAAAAGCCACAAGCACAGGACCCTAATTGTATACATTCAGTATACTGTACATGGACATACTATACACAAACCTAGTGCCCATACATACTAAGCTGATTTTTCATCTTTACTGCCTTTTGACACCTAATGAATTCTTGGAAAGGCAATAACTCTAACTCTCAGATTTTGATTTTAGCTTCAGCTAGACATAATGAAAAAAAAAAATTCCTTAAGGTTGATAAAACATGTTGGACAGAAAGGCTTGTTTAAACCCTGTCTTCACTACATCTTTCTTTGGGGTATTCAGAGGAGTGCAAGCTCTTTTTTATCCAACAGTACCATGTTCACAACAAGGAATACATGCATTGGTCAACAGTGAGATTAATATCTCAAAGTCACACTCTAGTTTTTCAAACAAATAGAATTAAATACAAGTCAATACGATTGACAGTATAATCACTTTAAGTTAGCAGTTGTGGTTTGCTACAGTGTCAGGTGGTTTGGCACTCATAGGCTTAAATGTTAACATGCTTCTTTGATGATGTTACATGCCAATTACATACAATACAACCATGTGCAATTTCAAGGCAGACTGCCCCCCCACACACACACACACATACACACACAGACACACACCACCACCACCACCAGTCTGATAGTTAATAAACTCAGAAAGAAAAAGAGAGGCAGTCAGCGGTAGAACCAAACTACACATACACATACATATCTTAAATCACTGGAGGCCAGTTTAGAGGTTTCTGATTTCCCCTTCTATCTCTGTCTTCTCTCCTCACAGGAAAGCTAATTCACCTAACAGCTGTGTGTGCATGTGTGTGTGGCCTGGTATTACTCATGTTGTGGGGATGCAAATCTGTTTACACAGTCACATTGTAGGGACTCAACATCCTTATGGGGACAAAAAGCAAGTCTCCAAAATGCAAGTCATGACATTTCAGAGTGATGACTTGGTTTATGGTTAGGGTGAAGGTGAGGGGCAAGTAGTGGCTATGGTTAAGGTTAGCATCAGTCTCTAGCAAATGAATGTAAGGCAATGTAAAGTCCCCTGAAGGGATAGGAACACAATATATCTGTGTGTGTTCTTGTGCTTGCTACATAGTGAGGACCAAAAAAAGTTGTTGTTTTTTTTGCTACATTTTTGGAAAATGAAGACATTTTGGCTGGTCCTCACTTTCTGAAACACCTTTTAGAGGGTTAAAACTTGGTTTTAGGGTTCAGGTTAGAAATAGGTTTAGGTTAGTTGTTAGGGTCAGGGTTAGGCACTTAGTTCTGATGGTTAAGGTTAGGGTAAGGGGCTAGGGAATGCATTATGTCAAGGATTGTTCTCATAAAGAGAAGTACATGTGTATGTGTGTGTGTGTGTGTGTGTGTGTGTGAGAGAGAGAGAGAGAGAGACAGGAAGAAAGTGCTGTATCATTCCAATGACAGATTGATAATCATTCTCTTTCTCACACAAACACACACAGACACACCAGACTGGACTTCCTGACTTGATAAATGCATTAACCTACAGTACACTGTGGTCAGTCAGGCTCAGTGATGAGAAAAACTGCCTTTTAGTTGGCAACAACAAGTTAGCTAGTAGCTAATACTAATATTAAAGTACTATTTACAGTTTGAATAGTTAACTTTCATGTTCAATAAACATCCTTCCTGTTGATGTACTGTATCAGAACATTAACAACTACAAATCCTCTCCTCTTGCATCCTCCACTGGGAGGTCAGAGTTCAGGGTTAGCTACAGATCAGACACTCTGGAGCCATTCAAGGTTGAGTGTTGTAGTCTAGCAGGAGGGTCAAGTGCTCAAACCTGTGCCCTCTGGTCTGTAATGACTTTGCCACCTCAAGTCAAGTCAAGATCATAATAAATCATGCTAACATCTTTTTTTAAAACCAGTTTCTGACACTGGTCACAGGATATGCTATCCCTATATTGTCTGTGTTAAGCATAGCCATCCATTCTGTAATTTAAATGCATGAATACTAGGTGGTACACAGCTGTTCAGCAACCCTCTCTCATAATATGACTCAGATAAGACCTAACCTGTTGCTGTAATCACATTCACACTGATTTACAAAGCAATATAGGTCTGTGTCATCTCTGGTATCAACAGAGTAATATGATCACAGGAGAGCAGTCATTCTCTGCTTCTGCTCTCACTCTCTCCGTAATGGCTTTACCAGCTCTCTCTGGAGACAGCTAGCAGGCAACACAAAGAGAGAAAAAGATCAAAACAGAACAGAGGAGGCAAGGAAATAAAAAAGAGGACAGGGCAGCCAAAGGAAAAAAGACAGAGAAGAGAAAACTGATGAAGAAATTAAGATATGAGAAAAGGTTTGCCCTGTACTATGAAATCAAATCAGACTTTCACCTGACAGAGATGAAATGCAATGACTTCCACTGAATGAGCCAGTGCACTCGGACCTCCTGCATATCAACAGCATATGTTCACTGGCACATAGCAGTTTTCCTTTGATGCTTTCAATGCTGGATTTCCATCTTTCCAATTGCCCCCTTTTCCAGGGAGTACTTTTAACATGTAATAATAATTTAACGAGAAGAAATGAGAAAAGGAACAGTAGCAAGGGTGTCTTTTTTTTAACAGAATCTACTATACTGTAGATTACTTGTAATATGCAAATAAAATACAAACCTTCACTGTAGCTACATTATAAGATCATTATCTAAACCTTTAGTTTATAGTATATGGAGAGAGAGCCGGATATGCTATCTTTGGTCTCACTGTACTCTGTTAAAGCTGCTTCATAAATGTTAATTTAAATTCTGCCAAAACTACAACAAGACCAAGATGAAGAAAATGCCAGTCCTATGTTTATAGCCAGTTGCATGTGATAGCAACTGGTGACTTCACCCAGTGTGAGCAAGTAAAACATGCTTTACTTGGAGACATAGACTACTGGTAGCTGTACAGCTATCACAGCATTATGGACTGAGATAGACCACTATCATTTCACAACAGAGTGCACATGCTGTATGCTAAACTGGAGCATATAAACTGTTTCTAGTTCTAGCTAGCTATGGAGAAATTTTAATGCAGTTTAGAGCCTAAAGCACACTGAGCTGACAATGTGTGTTCACCTGTTTGAAAAAAATGTTTTTGTATGCCAGCAAACATTTCCAATACAGCAGGTAATTTCTTGGCAAACATTTTTACTTGTCACAGCAGGGGGGAAAGCATAACAAATAAGGTAATTAATAACTCTCTTCCATTATTTCCCAGCCGCTTTTACTGTTATTAGTTACACCTGGATTATTACTGCTGTATACTATTAAAATTTATGAACTAAATCCATCTGAACTGTCAAGGTACAATTCTTTTTTTTAGATAATGTGGAGCTATTTGATCTAAAATACAGAGATTACATACAACATAAAGTGCTAGCACTAAGAATCAATAATCTACCAATGTCCAAATTTTGCTGCACATAATTAATCGACTAAAATTGGTCAGCGGGATTAAAACACTGTGCATTCCTTTAAAAATGCCTGAGCAAGACAAATACATCTTACTGCCAGAAGCATTATGCTGATGCCAGCCAGGCCACAGCTACACAGGTCAAGATAACGCATCTAAAAAGGACAATAATATGATATTCACGTTTCCCATGTGTCTGTAATATTACTGTATATACTAACCATAAATTATCATTCATAAATCTGTGAAACCAATCTTGTCTCCAGACATTATTTACCCAGTTCAACACTTACATTTGCTTTGTTGGCAAACACATTTTAACATTTTGTGGAATATAATCCTCCCAATTCCTACTTGTATCCCCAATGTCTGGCATCTGTTAATCTCTTTAAAATGCATTACTTCTGAGGGTAAATGCAGTGCACTTTGGTTTCAGATGCTTTTTTGATTTATAGATGTTATAAAACATTATGTGGATAGGTGGGCTAAAAATATAGAACAAATGTCCTTGTTTTCTTTTTTGAGTCATAAAACAATAGTTTCCACTCACACTGGGTATAGAAAAAGATAAGGATTAACAAAATCCTACACCAATTGATCCTTTTCACTATTTTCATGGGGAGATTCCTTTCAGACTTCCCTTCCAA